GGGGGGGGAAGGGTAGGCGCGAGAATGAAACGCTCGCGAGAATACCGTCAAAGCAAAAAACGGGGCAAGCGTGCGCGCGAGCGAGCGCGAGGAGTTCGCCTGGGCGGCGGTTGGCCGTCATCCCGCGCTCAGTTTAACGCGCGTTTGGTTGGCGTTGCTGCCTTTTCACGTGATGGGCGCGTGATGCTTTGCCGTGCTACCTAGGGGTCGAACGTTTTTTTTTTGTTTTGTTTTTTAAATGGCTTTTAGCAGCCTCGAATGCGTTTATCTGAGTCAGGCCGAAACTTTATGGAACGGTTTCCCCCTCAAATAAAGTGCATTCTCTGAAGTGTTCTCGCCGCTACCCTTTTGGAGCGAGGCTTGCAATTCGTGCAGACGCTCGGGAGGTTTGGGGCACTTAAGTGTTCATCTCGCAAGAAAACTGGATAGGATCCAGAGTTGTACAGAAGTAAGAAAGTGACGGCACGGGGACACGGCTGTCCATCTGAATGGGAGAAGCTGAGCTCCTATATCCGGAGGGTTTAGAACCAAGCCTTGATCCCTTGCGAATTCCTATCCCGGCCTCTTGATGTTACTGAGACACGTGTTTTGTTACATCTCTTTACACACTGCTATTGGAGTGTGAGCTTCTCAGAGCTGAATGGATTATTATTACTTTAATGTTATTTATTACTTAACATTAGTAAATATTTTCTAGAAATTAGAGGGTGTGTGTCATGAGGAAAATCAATGAATCACAATCTTGATTGCTATATAGCACCAGCAATTGTATTGCTGAATCTGATTTATACAAAGCAATATGTGTTGTATTTCACTGATTTCATGATGATCATGCTTAATTTTGAAAGTTTTTCCAAGACCTGAGACTTTGTTAACCCAGAATAGAATTGATAACTAACTCTTAAGCATTGCCTCCTGGTCATCCATCATGGACATGCTTCTAAAATGGAATACAGGATGTGTTTCAACAAAAAGTCACCAGAAGAACACTTACAACTTCATTACATTGTGATGTTGAATGCAAAAAAAAAAAGTGAACTTAAATTTTTTGCATAAGACTGCATTCCCGTGAAGGCTTAACTAAGGGAAAGCTCACTGAAATCAACTGATCAAAGTCAGCAGGCTACCATTTTGGTATGACAAAAACCATGAAATTAGTTCTTTGCATATGTAAGTATATCTGAAAGGTGAAAACATGGCAGATCTGATTGTGGCAGATCTAACTGTTGGCAGGTCTAACTGTTCAGGGACTGAACAGTTATTTTTGAGCAAAAGCTTAAAAGGATTTCCATTTAGTGACACAGGAAACTTGTGAAAGCTTCAATAGAATAGAATAGAATAAAATAGAATTCTTTATTAGCCAAGTGTGATTGGACACACAAGGAATTTGTCTTGGTGTAAATACTCTCAGTATACATAAAGAAAAGGTACATTCATTAAGAATCAAGAAACATAATGTACAACACAATGATAGTCATAGGGTACAATCAATAATCAAATCATACTAGGAAACAGTCAATATAAATTGTAAGGATACAAGCAACAAGTTACAGTCCTAAATCCACAAGTGGGAGGGGGTGAGTGATAAGGAGTGATGAGAAGATTAACAGTAATAGTAGTGTACACTTTGTAAATAGTTGAACAGTGTTAGGGGAATTATTTGTTTAGCAGAGTGATGGCTTTCGGGGGAAAAAACTGTTCTTGTGTCTAGTTGTTCTGGTGTGCAGTGCTCTATAGCGTTGTTTTGAGGGAGTTGAAACAGTTTTTGTCCAGCATGTGAGGGGTCTGTAAATATTTTCACAGCTCTCTTTTTGACTTGTGCAGTATACAGGTCCTCAAAGGCAGGTGGATAGAATTGTTTTTTCTGCAGTCCTAATTACTCTCTGAAGTCTGTGTCTGTGCTGTTGGGTTGCAGAACCAGACAGTTATAGAGGTGCAGATGATAGACTCAATAATTCCTCTGTAGAACTGTATCAGCAGCCTCTTGAGCAGTTTGAGCTTTCTGAGTTGGCTCAGAAAGAACATTCTTTGTTGTGCTTTTTTGATGACATTTTTGATGTTAGGTGTCCATTTTAGGTCATGTTATATAGTAGAACCTAGAAATTTGAAGGTCTCTACTGTTGATACTGTGTTGTCTAGTATTGTAAGAGGTGGTAGTATGGGAGGGTTTCTTCTAAAATCTACCACCATTTCTATGGTTTTGAGTGTGTTCAGTTCCAGATTGTTCCGGTTACACCATGAGGCAAGTTGTATAACCTCCTGTCTGTATGCAGATTCATCATTGTCTTGAATGAGACCAATCACTGTTGTGTCATCAGCAAACTTCAGTATTTTAACAGATGGATCGTTTGAGATGCAGTCATTGGTATATAGGGAGAAGTGGAGATAACACATGGCCTTGGGGGGGCCCTGTGCTGATTGTACAGGTATCGGATGTGATTCCGCCTAGCTTCACCTGCTGCTTCCTGTCTGTTAGGAAGCTTATGATCCACTTAGAGGTGTGTTCAGGTACCGCTAGTTGGTTTAATTTACTTAGAAGTGTGTCTGGAATGGTATTGAATGCTGAACTGAAGTCTACAAAGAGGACCCTTGCGTAGGTATTGGAGATTTAAGGTGTTGTAGGATGTAATGCAGAGCCATGTTAACAGCATCATCTGTCGATCTATTTTCTCGGTATGCAAACTGCATGGGATCTAACAGCGGATCCGTGATGGTTTTCATGTGGGACAGCACAAGCCTTTCAAAGATTTTCATAACTACAGATGTTAGAGCAACTGGTCTGTAGTCATTCAGTTCCTTGATGGAGGGCTTCTTTGGCACTGGGATGATGGTAGAACATTTGAAGCAGGAAGGAACATAGCACATCTCTAGTGATCTATTGAAGATTCAAGAAATATTCAAGAAATTCTTGAATATTAAAGAAACTAAAACAATCTGCTCTACCTTGTGCAATCAAACACTCATGCTCTAGATGGAAGACTTAACCCCAAGGCTTTGAGAGTAAAACCTGTTCAGCTCAGAAAGTGAAAGTACCCTTGATGGACTAAACCAGGGGTCTTCAAACTTGACAGCTTTAAGACTTGTGGACTTCCACTCCCAAAATTCCTCTTCCAGTCACATTCGCTCAGGAATTCTGGGAGTTGAAGCCCTCAAGTCTTAAACTTGCCAAGTTTGAAGACCTTGGACTAAACTAAAGAAGCAGGATGAACTATAGCTCTGGGGTTACCAAGGTGTGATGAGGAAGCTATTGGCTGAGTCCTTTTGATCTTTGTCATGACTCTGGTCAGAAAGAAAATCAAATGAATACAGATAAAATGGATGTTTGTTCTAAGAAAAAAAATGTCGCTGAGAAATGTATCTCATCTCTACAAAGGGTTAGGCATTGCCTTACTCCAACAAAATACAGAGATTGGGTTTAGTTTAGTTCTTTGCATATGTAAGTATATCTAAACATGCAGAAGAGAAGCTACTGCAAAGACTTCACATAGCTCTAGTTCTGTAGATGGGAGGGATAAGGAGATGGATGTGATAAAACATTTAAACACATTAAAAAATTCGTAACACATAAAGGAAAATTAGAGTATTCTGTGGTGTCACATGAAATTTCATAGAAGTAGGTGTCCTGGAGTAAGGCAGTTTAATTTATATGGTTTAAAAAACACAAATGCATACCTTGAATTAGAAAGTTCAGCTAATATGGTTTTCTATGTAATTACTCTTGGCAGTTGATCTGGTTAAGAATACAGTTTAGAAAGATAACATTTTAAAATAATGTTAATTAATCCTGTCTTAATTAAATATTCAGTGCATTCTAGAGCCACAGACTTTTTTTTTCGTTTAAAAAATCCCATTCAAACAATGATGCAGCATAATCTTTATAATGTGCATTTAATCACACAGTCTCACTGATTTCTCTATGCCAAATATTTACATCATGAGAATATGGTTTATATCATTTTAATTCCAAAATGATCAGAATTCTAAGCCGTAGTGGCACAGTGGTTAAATGCAGTACTGCAGGCTACTTCTGGTTGCCAACAATTCGGCAGTTCAGGTCTCACCAGGCTCAAGGTTGACACTTCCAAGGTGGGTAAAATGAGGACTCAGATTGGGGGCAATGTGCTGACTCTAAACCACTTAAGGCTGTAAAGCACTGTGAAGCAGTATATAAGTCTAAATGCTATTGCTAAAGCAGAACTAAACATTTTTGAAACCACAATGACTTTGGTTAAAGATGTTTCAGATAGTAGTTCATGAAGCAGATTATTGAACATCATACATGTAGCTCTGAATCATTTTCACCAGTAAAGAAATGAACAAATATATTTTTGACTCACTTGTTTAACTGGGTTTTCTTTAGAGCTTGTGTGGAAAACAGAACATGTTTTTGGTCATATTTAGGAAGAAGCACTGAAAATTTCAAAAGTTACAAATTTTAAGTACCACTGTGTCTGTATCCATACAGGGTAATGAGTAATGAAACCCACTTTTTTAAACCTCCAGCATGTGAGGAGTGTGTGTGTGAGGAAATACATGTCATTTAATAATACAAAGACAAAATTGCAACAAAGATTGAAATAATTATATTTATCCTATGACTGTAGAATTTTGAATCACGGTCATATACATTGTGTCATCATAAATAACAAATGATTTTTTATCCTGTCTTTATTACTGTAAAGTAACTCAAGGTGGCAAACATACATAACACTCCTATTTTCCCTACAACAATAACTCTGAGATAGTTTGAATTGAGAGAGTAATTGGCCCAAAGTTACTGAGCTGGCTTTGAAAAGGCTTGCCTGATTGCCAGTCAA